TGTATTTTTGTAACCCGCAAATGTAACTTGTAACTGTTTGTGGAACTGAGTAGGCCTCAAAGACAAAGCTATAACTGTGTGATGATGATAAAAACTGGATTCAACTGCCCAGCTTATCTAGTACATTTCAGAAAGGACATCTCAAAAAAGCATAGTCAAAAAGTTTTGAAGGGGCTAGATTTAGGTGGGGTAATGTTAATTTTAAACCTGAAGATGTTGTGTTGCAATTTGCTTATTGGGTAAACCCAAGATTGGGCAGTAACTTATTATAATAATTGCTAACACCTTTTAACCCCATAGGATAACAGCTATAAAGCAATATTATGAATGGCTATATAACTAAAAATTAGCATAATTAGAATATAAAAGAACACACACGTCATAGTAACCCTCGGGAAGGACGGAACAGAAGGGTCATTGCTGTCCCATATCCCACGGATATCTCTTACTCCCTGTGAGAGTGAGACCAGATCCTGACTGAGGGGCTTCCACCAGTATGCTTCGAGCAGCCCAGTGTAGAGACGTCTGACTTTGCTGATTCAACTTGCTGTGCATCTTCTAACCGAGGGACTACTGGTAAGTTACTAACCAATTAACCAAGAGTGGGAACTCTTGGTTAATTTCTTTATGTTTTATTATCGTTGTCAATTTTAATCTGTATTGTTATGTTGTCTGCTTATTTAGTTTAACCTTTTTATTAACTATTATATATGCAAACTATATCTTTTGTTTTCATAAGTAAAATTCATTCTTTTTTGTAAGTGAAACTTGTCGTTTCTTTCCTTTCCAACATCACTTTCTAGATCCCGAACCAAAAAGCCCAGTGGCTAATAAAATTGCAGTGTTCAGTCAGTCTGCAACTAAACTGATATACTCACAGTGCCCAGCTGGCCTGTGACATATATATGAAGTCTCCCAGTGAATGCGGAATTGTCCTGGTGGCGAAGTGAGGGCAAAGCAGCAGTGAACGTGGGTTACTGTTGCTTATGATCCTCAAATAATAAAATGTAAAGCTTTCACTCTTTCGTCAGTGACCTGTTTGTATCTCTGTACCACTGCTTCCTGTCTGCATCTCTACCGTCAGAACATGGGAGAATAGAAAAGGAAATGGAGAGTAGAATTATACCATTTTGTTTTATATTTTAATTCCTGAGATAAGCAGTGAGATTTACCAATCCAAACTAGCACAGTTTTTCAAGATCATATTATTGAATGCATGTCACCCACAGTACATAAAATCTTGCTATTCTTGGGAGTAGATAACTTTCAGCACTTAGAAGCCTGTGAGTGTGTCTCGCTATGAGATCATAGCTTGTATACACATTCTTGAGGTAGTTCATGTGCTGATAATGGATAAGGTGCAGTTGCCTGAAGCTCAACCTAATTGTTTGTGGACCTATAATCCAAGGAGCCAAGTGGGTTTTGCAACCTGCATGGAATCCTTTGCTGCCAGTGACTGAATGCTTTGTTACATGATCTGTCTAGTTTAAAGCTAGTTTAGCCCTGTTCATGTGTTGCCATGGCTGATCAGGATTGCAGTCTTGACATACAAGTCTCCTAGAATTTTAATGGGACTTATACTCCTGTGGCCAGATTAACCCAGGTATTTAGGTGCCTAAACAACTGTCTAGGTCTCCAGTGGCATTTGAGTCCTAACCACATTGTTAGCACCTCAATATCTCTTGGTAGAAGTACAAAACTGTGTACAATTGACATGCAGACGAAAGTGTTTCTGAAAATGAAACTCAAGAATGTAAGTGACCCAAGTGCTTCTGAAAATTGTGCCCAGAGATGGCACCCAGGAAAGTCAATCATAGACAGCACTGGGATTGTAGCAGAAGGAAAGGGGAAAATTCTCTAGCTTCGAAAACACTTTGTCCAGGGATGGATCCAGCGGTGTGGCTGCACCCCTTTCACCAGGTAGCAGAAGCAGCAGTTGTGGACTTTAGGTCCCTGAAAATGTAAGAATCCCCCTTCCCTTTCCCTCCATACTTAGAGGCACATCCTTCCTCTCCCATTCTTACCTCCTTTGCCTGCCACTGCCAGTGCCCTCACTTTCTCAAGGGCTGGGCTCAGCCCAGGACACTGGCAAGATCAGGCAGATAGGTCCCCCTTTTCTGCCTTTCCCCTTGGGTGCTCCCTATAAGCCCACGAGCAGGCACAGGAACCTACCCACCTCTCGACAACATGGGTTAAGCCCAGCTGCAACAAAAACAGGCTGAAGCAAGACAGGAGCTCCCCTTGCCCTCAGAACAGTGCAGACAGCGGAGATTCTGGCAACAGCAGCCAGGGGAGAGGAGGAGGCATACTTCTGAGCATAGAGGGGAAGGGAGAAGGGACATGACTGGTTAACTTTTTCAGAACTTAGTCCCTTGCTGCTTCTCCCTGCTGGCCCCGGTGGGGAGGAAGGGAGGGAGGAGGCTGACAGTGGCAGGCGCTATTGCTGTCTCTGCTCATAGAATCATAGAAAATTAGGGTTGAAAGAGACCTCAGGAGGTCACATCTAGTCCAATCCCCTGCTCAAAGCAGGACCATTCCCAGCTAAATCACCCCAACCAAGACTCTGTCTAGCTAGTTCTTAACAACCTCCAAGGATGGAGAGTCCACAACCTCTCTGGGTAACCTGTTCCAGTGTTTTCCTATCCTCCTAGTAAGAGGTTTTTCCTAATAGCTAACCTAAATTTCCCTTGCTGCAACTTGAGACCATTGCTCTTTGTTCTATAATCTGCCACCACTGAAAACAGTCCAGCTCCATCCTCTTTGGAACCACCCTTCAGGTAGTTGAAGGATGCTATTAAATCCCACCTCAGTCTTGTCTTTATTCTAAACTAAATAAAATCAGTTCCCTCAGTTTGTCCTAAGTCATGTGCCCCATTCCCCTAATCATTTTGGTTGCCCTCCACTGGACTCTCTCCAATTTGTCCGCATCCTTTTTGTAGTGGGGGGCCAAAAACTGAACACAGTACTCCACATGTAGCCTCACCGGTACAGAATAGAGGGAAATAAACTTCCTTCAGTCTGCTGGCAACGCTTCTACTAATGCAGCCCAGTATTCTATTAGCCTTCTTGGCAAGAAGGGCAAACTATTGATTCATATGCAGCTTATTGTCCACTGTAACCCCAAGGTCCTTTTTTGCAGAGCTGCTGCTTAGCAAGTTGATCTCAAGCCTGTAGCAGTGCATCAGATTTTTCAATCCAAAGTGCAGAACTTTGCGCTTGTCCTTGTTGAACATCATGAGATTTCTTTTGGCAAGCAAATACAGGATATGCAAGGTGATGCAATGCAAAGGACCTAATATTAGTGATACTGAAACACAAATCAAGACTAAATAGGGTGACAAAATTCCAGAGGGGTTGATAATCTAGATCAGTGGTTCTCAACAAATATGTCACAGCACCCTGGGATGCCTTTAGATCCTTTCAAAAGTGCCATGGGACTTGAGCAGTTAGCACTCTTAGGTGTGCAAACAGTGATTCACAAGATAAATCCAAAGACTTCAAATAGGAATCGAGTGTTAAATGCATGCTGACCTGTTGTCTGAGTCCTTTGTAACAGAAAAGCCGCTCTATTATTTTTCCATAGTGACAAACTGTGAAAACTTAGGACCTAGCATTTTTCAAGAGATACCTCAAGCCTAACAAGGGGTGCGTCAAACCAAAACAGTGGAAAACTACTGATCTAAATCTTGCGTTTAGAAGCTAATGTTATTTCTTCTCCTCTGATTTCCACCCTTGTCTGTGCCATTTAGCAGCAAGTGATGCTTACTGTAATCATTTTATCTTTGAAAGAATAATATGACTGTCTCCTGGTTGCAATAAAGAAATCCATAGTCATGTAACAATTTATTTCCATGACAATTTATTGAATAACAAAGTAAAACAAAACAAAAAAAACCCAGTGGTTTGGACTATGCCAGCTCTCTTTCTTTAGGTTTTTCAAGATTATGCAGTGTATTGACTTACTGAAATGGGTAAACATGATCCAATCCTGAGAGTTCTCCACTTGTTTTAGTTCCCTGAAGGGAGCTTCAGTGCAAAATAATCCTTTTGTTTAAATAGTTCACTTGCTGCCTCTGCCCTAATGTATCTTCTGGCTTTCAGAGCCTGGGACAGTCAAAAGTTAGTCTCTTCACTTTGTTCTCCCTATTTTGAGGTCATTGCTGGGACTGCCTTCCCTTCCCTTTTATTTCTTGTTCTAGACTAGGGCTGTCAAACTTCAGAATTGCCAGGGGCTACAGATTCCCCAGCCACATGCCTTGTGTACCACAAACTCCCTGGGCTGCTTGTCGTATGGGATGCACACTACACTGTATACCCCCCGCTTTTTAGGGTATCCCCCCATTGCACTGCACTGCACTGCACTGTATTGATGCCCCTGTGCTGTGCTGCGAGCCCTCCACCCCGCTGTGCTCTGGACAGCCACTGTCGTGCTACACCAGTCTCCAAGTCCCCTGAGCCTCCTGGGCACAGGTTCTCTCAGCCTTGTAGGCCCTGCCATCCCCACTCCCAGGTGCAAAATCAAGTGGAAGCTGAAGAAGGGAGGGGGAACCTGAAGGCTTGTGGCAGCAGCAGGAGGAAAATAATGGGAGGGGGTGGCACCCAGACTGGAATCTGGGGACCACAGAACTCTTGGGGACTACATGCAGGCCATGCGCTGTTAATTAGGCAGCCTTAAGTCTAGACTTTCTGTTTCACTTTATCTTCACTTTTCTGGATGCTCGCTTGACATGTTGAGGCCTCTGTTTCAGAAAAAGACAAGTATTTGTCTTTTGACTATTACACTCCTTAGCATGTTATCTCAAAAATACTCCATAAAATAGACTCTGAAATCACCAGTGATTTCTGAATAGTCACCTCTGATACCTTTCTCTTTACTGGCCTCCTTACCTTGCTAGCTGCAGTACCTCTGGTGCCCAGCTTCCTTTGGCAGATGGGGAGTTCTTCTAGTCCTATGCCATATACCACCTGGGAGAACTGGAAAAGGAAATGGCATATACCTGTTCTTCTCTTACTCCACTTTTCTTTTTACAGAAAGAAAAGTATCCTATTCCCATTTGGAAGAATTCTAAGGTAAACGCTATGGGTCCAATCTACTGTATGTGTGACAGAGTTTAATGCCCAGAACTTTCAGAAATACATTTTTCTGTCACGTACCTGGTAATTCCCTGACTTAATCAATTGTGACTTATCTTCAGTGGGCTTTGAAACAAGATTTGTATTACATAACTGGAATATCAGACCAGCTAAAATGTTTTATGCTCTAGTGGCTCATTTCTGCAAGATAGTCTGAGCAACAGCTAAAGGGGATTTTCTGTGCAGTACATTAGTCCAGAGTAATAAACTCTGGGAGACTACTAGCATTATCTCAAAAAGGATGTAGTTGTGGATGTATCTCCTAAGTTCAGCTACCACCCATCCAGTAGAAAACATCCCCTCCTCCCCAGACTCTCAAGAAGATTTTAGAAATGTTTGAGGAAATCTGGAAGTGGTCCTCTTATCTCCAACTTTCAATACTGTGCCATCTATCCATGTCAACCACTTGTTTGTGGGAGATTTGGCCAAATATTTTACTTTCTGTATCTGTATCTGGATTATTTTTATGATCTTGTTGATTGTTTCTACCTTACAAAGAAGGGTAAGAATTATGCAGCATGTTCTGGATATTGTTTAGGTCTATAAAACTCTAGAGACGCATGATTCTATGTGGGTATAGAACAAGACAGTAACACAGTAAAGCAAAAGTCAGCACTGTGAAACAAGCTAGCCACAAAAGTGGCAAAAGTACAAATATAGCAGGCCCAAGACTCTCTTTACCCCAGCCTTTGCTTCAAATCTTTCTCCTTTGGTCTCTCTGGTACTGTGATGATGAGTTGTGTGATATGGAGTCCAGCCTTCTCTTTGAACTGCCAGTGGTGAACATCAGATGTCTTTTGGGGGAGGTTCTTCTTCCACAACTTCAGCAACTGAACTTATTTCCATTTCTGGGCTTTAATCTAAAAGTACCAATTTGGGTCCACCTGAATTTCACTCTGTGAGAGGGCTCTCTCTCGCAGTCTCAATTCCAGGCATTCAACAGTGAGTGGATAGGTTTTGAGCTCAAACTTATTGGCAAACAAACATGTCGAGTTATATAGCCACTTGAGGTCACCTGTTCCGTATATACAAATGCCTCTGACATAATGGCCTGCAAAGGAAGATGACGATAGCGACATCAGAACATAGGCATTCTATGAAGAGATGTGAAGCTAAGTTACTGTAGCAACTCTGCAGCTCAGTGAAGCAGAACAACTCAATGCAGCTTAAACCTGTTTGAATTTAGTTTCTCACTCCCCTCAGGAATTAAGCACAATCCTTGTTTTACAGGTCCACAACAAACACATGAAGAGTGACTTGCCCGAACCACCCATGAAGTCTGCAGTCTAATCAGGTGTTTAGCCTACCCTGAATCTCAGTCATGTAGCTTAATTAACTATCCCTTGACTGGCCTGTGTGGTGGTAACCTGGACTCACTTTAGAGGGGGTACAGAGCTCTAAGAATCATGTTTCCTCAAGTTGCCCAATGTTTAGGCTTGTGATGGAGCCACCCATTCTGGGGTGGCTACTGTTAGCGAAGAGAATTGTTTAGTGCTCCCGGGCTATAACCCTCTAGCAACTGGCCATAAACTGAGATTCTTAAAATGGAGACAAATGGACCACAGCCTAGGTGGAGCTGAGGGTTAGAAGGTTCCTAAGGAGACCTGCAACCCATTTGTAAATAGCTTTCAGTGGTAGCACAGGAAAAAAAATATAAATATGTATACTACCATGACAACCTCCATGTTTCTTTTCCATATCTTTCCACTTTATAGCTCTCAGGTCACCTTCCCATGATGCATTGGGCATGGAGCCAGGGACACCTGCAATTCAATAAGAGAACAAAAATGTTAGTCTTAAAGTTTATGAGTTCAACATTAATTTGATGCACAGCACCTTTCCCTCTGTGAGTTCTGGGCAGACTTCTCAGCAGAGCCAACAGAACTGGAATGAAATCAATGGATTCCAGAAATGTCATTAATTTTCAAGAAATTAAACTCTGGATCTCCAAGCTGAAAGTAGCGTTTAAAGCATGAACCAGTTTATTGTTCCTTTTGAGTGTACATCCCAAGACAAATGAGAACTTTCTTTTGTAATGATCACAGTAACAGATACTAGCCAGTGCTTATGTAACAATTACCATAGTCAAAAACGCTGTTCAAACACTAGCTTATTTGATCTATGCTACCACCTTATGAGGTAGCAGAAAATAGCATCTTTAAGCCATAGAGATGGGGAACTGCACCATAGCAGAGAAAAACCTTACACAGTATGAACAGGTAAATATGTCCAGGCTACTAGTTGGTGGAAGAGCCTCCATTTACCTGTTAATAAGGAAGTCCAATTTTAGCCAGGTTTTAGCTAACTTATTTACTGCTCAACAGCATTCTAAATACCTTATTATCAACACGTCTTCATTTAAAATTATCACTGAGATTGTGAGAAATACAATAAAAACACTTATGTAGCACCTCTGTGCATATATAGGGGGTGGTTGTAATCCCTCCAACATTCTTAGTCTAACTAGTAAACTTGTGGCAATAGCAATGTTCAGTGCATTTCCCAAGTATGGTAGTGTAATAGTGCTGCTGTGGCCATAATAGTCCAGAAACTGCGAGGAGCAAGAATTTCTTAAGGTGATGCCTTTTATGGACTACTACTACATGGTACTAGATAGTTGGTCCAATAAAAGATATCACCCTAAAGAATCCTTGTCTTTTCCAAGTATGCAACTTACCACGTTAAAGCCAAAGTTACTCTGTGGCAGAACCAACAATGTGTGGGGAGCCAATATGTAAACTTAAAGTCACAAAAAATATACAGACTAGGACTTGTCATCTTTTGGAGTGAAAATGTAAACAAGGAAAGGACTAGTGTGTCCAAACCCAAAGAATGAAATTGCTTTTCATCTTTCCAACAGCCTCTGTGCTTAAAGTATTCCAGAAAGATGGGTTATATTGCTCTCCTGATCTGGAAGAAACAGTCAGGGCGAGAAAGCGTCTCTGTTACGTTCAAGAATAAAACAAAGTTGCTGGGTTTGCAGTTACCCAAAAAGGTTTATATTATGTGGAATTAGCTGAATGTTTTGCCCAGTGGTTCAGAACTCCCAGTGTTTTGGCTCTAACAACAAACTTCAGCTTTGTTTTATGTGACTCTGCCTTTTTCTTGTGCATAGGTCATCCCTCTGTCCTCAGCACAAACATTTTTTTGATCTAGTACATAGCTAATTTTAGAAAGTGGCAGACCACCACTGACTGAATCTCCTTGAGCCGTAGAAAAATTTGGATTAGTCCAGGATAGACTGTAGTAATGCCGGGCAATAACAACTATAATTAGTTTGGATGCTTTGTTCCCAGTCTGATCTGGTTGGTCAGTGACTAATCTCTGAGATATACCAGTTACAACAAACATTTGCTTTTTTTGTCTTTCACAAGGATGGTATATATTTAAATCTGAACTTCAAACATAGGCCGTACTGATTATTTTTCACCTCTTAAAGCCTTCTTCCCTCCAGCCTGTTAACAAAATGCCTGTGCCCTGGTGCCATCTTGCTCCTCTGAAGAAGCTGTTGCTGTCATCAATAGTGTGATCTAATTATGTGACATGGAAAATATTTCCAGAGGAAATCCTGCTTTAAGAGACGGCTGCTTTTCTGTAGCAGCAGGTAAAGGTGAACAACTGTTTAGGATTTTTTCCCCAGAGTGAAAATGGCCACTCAGAGAATAAAATAATTTGGGAACAAGGATTAAATCACTACAGGTAGAGTTTCTCCTGCAAGAGTGAATGCCTGTGTATGTTAGGTTCTGAGAAATGCCACAGTACAGTCCTCCAGTATCCCAGGGTGCTTTGTGTTATTCACTGGACTCCACTGCTGCAGCCAGGCAGCAAGCTGATAGGGCTATGCAACATTTCGACGGGTGTTTCGTTTTGAAGCTGTTTTGATGCATTTCAAGCTCGAAACAGTGAAATCAAAATGAAACAAAAGGCTTCGAAACAGCTTCAAAACAAAACATTTCGAGTTTCAAAGCTGGGCCTACAGCTAAACAGAAACTAAGGAGAGGGAGGGGGAAAGGACTGCTCTCTGATACTGACATTTAGCTCCATGTTCAATTCCTGAGCTCTCTGATCGCTTCCTTTAGCTCTTCCCAGGGAGCCACCAGCACCAGCTGCAACAGGAGGACTGTGGAGCTGTGCCAGGATCTTCCCCACGGAGCTCAGCCCGATAGCAGAAGAGCCAGTGGCGGAGCTGCTCCGAGTGCAGCCCTAGCTCTGAGCTCAGCCCTGGTGAGCACAGCCCAGGGACTGGAGGCTCCACAGCCCCATGGAGCTGAGCCTGGTGGTGGGAGGTGATGGACAGCCAGTGGCAGAGCCACTTGGAGCACAGCCCTGGCTCCAAACACAGCCCTAACCAGTGGCTCTCCCCCACCTTCCACTGCCAGACTTAGCTCTGTGGGGCTGGAGGAGCTGCTTGGAGTGCGGCCCAGCAGCTCGGAGTGCAGCCCAGTGGCAGGAGGTGGGGAGAGCCAGGGCTGCACTTCAAGCGGCTCTGCCAGCCCCGCAGAGCTCAATCTGCCCTCCCAGCACTGCCACCGAGCGCCAGGAAGAGCCTGGTGCCGCCCCTGCTACAGCCCCAGGAGCAGTGGATGCCACCTGCCTGCAGCTGCTGGGCTGCATCGTGCCCTGAACCCCCTAGCGCAGCCCAGCAGCTGCAGGCAGGCGGCATCTGATGCTTCTGGGGTGCAGCAGGGGTGGCACCAGGCTCTGCATGCAGGATGACAGGTTGCCACTGCCGCCTGGGGCCAGCAGGAGCAGCAGTTTTCCCAGCGCTGGGTGTGGGCTGCGCCCAGCACTGGTCCCAAGTGGCAGCCTCCTGTCATCCCGTGCGCAGATCCAGGGGCCTGAACCCCCAGGAGGTGTCAGGCACAGACCCACAGTCCTCCCGGGCCTGAGAAATGCTATTCAGAGCATAAGTTGGTACTTTTTGGTGAGCTAATTACCAAAAGCAAATTCCATTGTGATTTAGTATGCACAAGCATTACTCTAACAGATGACAGATTAGCTATAGTGTTTTGTACACAAAACAACAGACCCTGGCAGGAATTCAGTGCACTAATATGACTATAGTGACAAGTTAGTCTAGTGACTGACTGACCAAATTTCATTTTAAGTCAAACTTTATAAATCAAACAATTTGGATACTGTACAGCAACCCTTAAACCTTCTTCTATTAGATGAGAGTTTTGCTATTCTAAACTGCCTTTGATGTTGAGTGGCAAACTAGTGAACTGGCATTTAAAAGAAAGTTTTGTTTGTGACTAGCCTCAGTATGAGTTTGTTTAGCAAAGCCAAACATGAACACGAATGGACTAGCAAACGGACTAAACAGAAAAGTATTGTTGTCTCACTTTCTTCCTTAGGCAGAAACAGATGGAATATACCTTCCTTGCAGTGGATGATAATAACTCTACTGTTAACACTTTCAAACTGCAAAGAGCAGAATATCAGAGAGAAATCTTCAAGTTTTTCCTGAAAAACATGATTTTTGAATATTTTTGGAGAAAAGTGACAGAAAAGAAGATGATGAGTATTTGTATTTACTTCCTTTGAAGTATAGCTCCTCTCTTTCAAATAAGGATGTCTAGTCAGTAGTCAATGACCCTTTAACAGCACAAAGAGATGGAATGGTGCAGCAGCAAAATCTCACTGGGGCTCTGATATAAAACTATATAGGCCAGCAGCTAGAGCTTAAAATGGGTTATATTTCATAAATCCTACTCGTGTTGGGTCTTTCATCAAATGCTATGGAAAATCATGGCTCTGGCTTCAGAGAGAACAGAAGAAGCCAGTAGCTCTGTAAGAAGATCAGCTGTAACTGGGGGAGGAAAACATGCATTGTTCTGTTACTGCTAATGAATGACCATATACTACTTTGGAGAGTAAGGAGGGGAGATGAAAAAAGGATGTGATATGAGAGGAAAGGGCTTATGGCAAGGCTTTGCAGTCCTGTCCCACTGACCAGCAGTTAGTCTGCTCTGAGAAGAGAATGCACTGCACTCCATAAAAAACTATCTGATCTCCCATTATCTTATGACCATACCTGAGAGCCCTGGATGGGCTTCAGATTGATACTGGGTTGGTATGGGTACTAAGGATTTCTTATGCTAAGGAACGTCTCCTACCCCACCCATTCCCATCCTAACCTTCTGCCATAATCAATGATTTACATGTTAAAACAAAAATCTAAGCAATCTGGGCACCATAAACTGGTTTAACTACTGAGATACTGTGGTCACCCATGCCTAGAGGAAGGGCACTAGGAAAAAAAGGATAATCTTTAGATTTGCTAATACTAAACAGGTAGATGATTTAGACTTCTTGGCTTAAGCATTTTCATTTTTCACGATCAGCGTGGTATGAGGAGAAAGAATGGAAGTGGAAACAACAAATGTCTGGGGAAGCGGAAAGCTGATGATAGATGGATGAGAAAGTGAAGGGGGTCTGTAGACTCAAAGGCTGCTTCAGAGAATGTGGGACAGAATACTTTAACAGGAACAAATGTTGGACTAGCATGCAAAGGTCCATTTATGAAGAGAAAGTTGTGCCAATTCCCTGCAGTAACAATTTACAGTGATCAACTTGGGCAGAGCTCTGCCAGTTTATAGCAGAGCACATGAATCCTGGACTGGCTGGAGTGGACTCTGTATGCAGTGCATGTCTCAGGCCCTGTGCTCAGTTCTCATCAGGCATGCACAGATGTAGCATGCAAGTCAACTCCAAGACCCAGGGGCTGGATGATGAGGCCAGGTCTGGCTTGCACGCCTTGTCTCTGACACCCCTGATTTAAATCGATTAGCTTGTTCCAACAGGGATCCTATAATAGTCTTTGACTATATAAAATTAAGGCTGTTTCTTCTACTTGTGATATGACTTATTTGGAAAGTACTTGACACTGGATGGGAACTTGGAAACCAACTGAGAAAAGAAACAAAGTTCTTGGGGATGAGCAGTCTGTTTGTCTAGTCAGGTGTGGTTCTCAGATTCCATTCCTGTATCTGCTGCCGAGCATTCTTTGAGAAGTATGAGGCCTCCCTGCCCCCTGGGCTACAAGCATTTCCTTCTAGTCTGCACAGCCCTGGAGGTAGACTGGCTAAAAAAAGAGACTTGAAAATAAAGGCAGTGGACTCAGACTAGGATCATGCTAGAAGGCAATGTGTTGTCCTGCCCCTGCTTAATCAGACTCTGTTTTTTTTTTCTTTTTTTTTTTTTCATCTGAAGTTCAGTGATCCCTGATTGCATTCCCAAGACCTGAGAGGCTTCCTGCTCATGCCCATTTATTCAACTCCAAACCAGACAGAGCACCCAAAATTGACCTGTGTTTGCACTTGCGATGCTCAGGCTCATGCTAGGTACACATCATCATGTGAAGATGCTGTAGCACAAACAAAGTTCATGTCTTTTCAGTTTCAAATCAGCATCTTGGTTCTGCGTTCAAAACTTCCCATAGTGTAAGAGCAAGTTCCCCACAGACTAGTTGTCTGCACCACCCTTTATTAGCGTGGTGTGTTTCACAGGATCATTTCCTTACGTAAGGATACTCAATGCAACTAAGCTAGGCTTTTTTTCTTCTGTCTCATTTACTGTACAGAGAACAGAATGTCATTGTCAAACAGCATACAAGTCATTTCAAAATATGGGATCTATTCTTCTGTCCTGAGACCTAGTAAGATCTTTCTGCCTGGCTTCAGGACCTGGCCTCTGTATGTGTGAAGCCACATCTGGGGAGCTATGTACAGTAGGACAAATCCAGACCTTGCTCTGGAGCACCCATGCCAACAAAACTGTTTTGCTGTTGCTCAAGATAGATTTGACGGGGTGGGGGGAAGAAGGAGACGCACAATGGCAACCTCACAGTGGCTTCCAGCATCAGTGTACAGTGGCCATGTAAGCATGAACCAAACTACCGTGGAGTCTTCATTTTCTTTTCCTCTGGGACTTTACTTGGGGAATAACATGTAAAATGTGAGGCTTCCTGAATAAAGCATTCTTGATTTGGAACCAGGAGACCTGAGCCTTATTGAGCTTTGCCACTGGTCAGCCGGGTGGGGGGCCAGTGGACCATCACTTAACTGTGACTCAGTTTCCTTGCCTGTAAAAGCAGAGATTATGACATCTCCTTTGCATTGTGCCTCTGTGTACGGGTTTTGTATGACCTGACAATGTAATAGTACAGAATGTGTCAGCCCGCAAATGTGTGGCCCTGGCTTTGGTTCTGCTCTTTCCTTCCTTAGGAAAGCAGCCAAGAGCTTACCTGGAAGGCCTCTCACACTACAGAGACCTAAACACAGCCTAGCTCGTAGCTCTGGTCTGGTTTTCCCTTCACCGTCTCAGTATCCAATAAAATGAGCTGCTGCTTACAGAAGTTAATGCATCTCTGATTTAGTCTGTGAAAGCAGTGCTTGACCTCAGGGCCAGATCAGACTTGCAAGGCTGTCATTGAACTCACGGCTCACTCCACTGGTCCAAAAATCTGGCAGCGAGGAAAGTAGCAGCAGTGTCGCCTGCAGCTCCCCTCCTGCCAAAGGCCCAGGGGAGCCCCGTGGGCTGAATGCCGTAGCTCTCACACAATACATCAGGGTGTGGGACTGTTCTGTGGATGTATCTGACATGACCTGCTAGACCAGCACCCAGCATCACACCCACAGGCTGACTCCATGCTGGATCAGACCAGCGGACTGACCCCGTGGAGGAGGTTCAGACCCCTGCCACCCACGCAGCTGGCAGAGCCACGAGGTGGAACGCTGCTGGTTTATAAGGTGCCAGCCTGCCGGGGCCCTCTGCTCAACCTCAGGTTCCCCCCGGACCTTTCTTCCTGCTGCCTACCTGGGATCCTATTGAGTGTCACCCAGAAATGCTCGTCGGGGCTATAGGTGTCTTGAGACCAGGCAAGCAGCTCAGTGGCCCGCGGGTCGCGAAGCACGAAGTCCACAAAGGGCCGCGCCAGGGCCACGTAGGCAGAACCAAAGTAGATGGTGAGGTTGCGGGGCGGCGGGGCCTTGCGGCGTGGGGTGCGCGCCACCGCCCAGGTGGCGGCAGGGTCGGTGGCGTTGCCCAGGTGCTCCTGGTACACATAGCGGGTGCGGACCTGGGCGTGGGTGGGCGGGAGGTCGCCAGGGGTCAGGCTATGTCCCTGCCAGCCCCGCAGGTAGCGCACCACCTCCAGGTTGGTGCGCAGTGGGAAGTCCTGGCCGCAGGCATTAAGCAGGTAGCGCCAGGGCACGGCGGAGCCCGCCAGGTCCTGCAGGCAGTGCAGGTCGGCTCGCAGGCGGGAGATGCCAGCATAGACCACATACTCGGCCCGCGAGGCCACGAAGGTGTTGGGGAAGCAGGCGGCCAGGCCGGCCACGGCGCGCTGGAAGGCGGAGGGCGCCTTGCGGTCCACGTGCAGGCAGTACAGGTTCTGGGGCGCGTAGATGGCGCGGAAGAGGCGCTCGAAGGTGTCGAAGTCCTTGTGCAGCGCCAGCGTGTAGGCCAGCGGGAAGGCGGCCTCCTCCGCCGACAGCGGCCGGGTCACGTAGCGGCTGCGGGACACGTAGTCCCCGCAGCCGCCCCCAGCCTCGGCCCCGGCCCAGGCCCCCGGCAGCGCGGC